TGTGTATATATATATATATATATATATATATATATATATGTGTATATATATATATGTGTATATATGTATAAAGGTGTTTTAAACCCTTCCCACACTCTTGCAGTATTCTTAACAATGTTTCTAATTTCTAAACACTCTAAAAGAGCTCGGAAAGTCATGATTTCAGCTCCTGCCTCCTCTGCTCTCAGCCACCTGCAAGTGCTCTTGGCCACGCCCACTTCTCCACCCTGCGTGGTGAACAGCTGATCAGCTGCAGCTCTGGGCTGCACAAATGTGTAGCATATTCTAAATTATTTTAAATAAAAATTCCATGCCTATCGTGCGGCTCATCCATCAATCAGCCAGTTGTGTGTCATGTCCAATCTTATCTTGAAAAACCGCGATGGAGCGAGTCCGCGATAAACAAACCACGAAGTAGCGAGGGACTACTGTAGTTCTAAAAAACTTTAAAAGTTGCTCCAGGTGTTGATGTTGTCTTTTATGGTTTATAGCCTCTCCACCAATTATATAATTTAATAAATGATGATTGGATTAGAGTAGCATTGCTATCATTATAAATATTATACAATACATTATTAGTGTTTTTCAGAAATATCTCATCAGAATTGCCAAACTCATTCTCTATCAATATTGCAATTAAAGAAATCTTATTGTAGATGAGTTTTAAGAAATCTACAGGTTTTTTTAAATTCCTCACACATTCAACACTTACGACAGCTGTCATCCAGATGGCAGGTGAGGTATTTAAGTTGTACAAAGTTGAGCGACTTTACCAAGTTGTGAGAAAGTGAAACATGAAGTGACGGAAACAAATTTAGCATCATTAAGGTGCAGTGTTGCCCAACACAGTGCATTGACATTTTGTTCTCAATGATAATGTTAACTGCTGCAAACAGTTTCAAACGTCTTTGTTGACAGATGCTTTTTCTTTATTCAAACGAGTGTAATCATCATTGTAATCATTTTAAACTTTTATTTGTGCTATGTTAATGTTCATCAGTTTTCAAGCTCTCTAAATGACATACTTATCTCTTCCTCTTTCTCTTTTTATTACCTAGAATTTCAAAGCTGACCCGGAGGAACTTTTCACCAAGTTGGAGAGGATAGGGAAAGGCTCATTTGGAGAAGTGTTTAAAGGCATCGACAATCGGACTCAGAAAGTTGTGGCCATTAAGATTATTGATTTGGAGGAGGCAGAGGATGAAATAGAAGACATTCAACAGGAAATCACAGTGCTAAGCCAGTGTGACAGTCCCTTCATCACCAAATATTTTGGTTCCTACCTAAAGGTAAGCTTTACTGGCACGGAGATTCATGTAATAGTTTTGTTAGTTTATGTTTGGCGTAATGGAAATGATAATGGTGTTCCTGCAAGCATGAAAAAACAATATTGGTCATTAAATAATTGAAATGGGTAATGGAGTAAATATTGCCTGTGAAAAAAGGCACTTTGAGGTTGTAGTGAACCTTTTGGACGGTTAATGGTGCAGTTTTATAAGTGCTAAAACATCTGAACATTGTGTTCCTTAGGTCTGCACTTCAGCAGCAGCAAGAACTTCATGAATGTAGTGATAGCACCAGATGTTACCGTTAAATTATCAGTGTTCATATTAGTTCTGGGAAAAACAGAATCTTTATACTTGCAGCTAAGTACAAACTGATTTTTTTTTTATATAATTTTAAAACTCAAAAATCTTTAAAGGCTGAGAGTCAGTCAGTGAAGTAAATGTTTATTTAGATTTAGTGTATGTTTTGAATATGTTTTAGTGTATTTGAATGTACATTACAAACCAGTTTCATATCATCCAAAATGATGTGACCAACTAAAACAAGAAAAGGTTTAGTCACCTGTAGCCTGTTCACACCATGGTTGTGTGATACGACTGCAACTACAATTATTTTTGAAAAGGCCTTTGGTCATTCACAAATGAACCAATCAATCTAGCCAAGTCCTGCAACAATTTGTGCATAAAACATAAAGTCAGCACCACAAAAACAACAACATAATAGTGACGCCATTTATTACAAAAGATCTCTGCATGCTCCACCCCCTTGTTTGTTCATACTCATCAACTCTGCACTATGACTACCACTGCTGTCTTTTTAAAGACATATACAGTAGTCCCTCGTCTGTTGCGGGGGATCCGTACTCTGAAGACCCGCGATAAGTTAAAAACCCTGAACTAGGAATAGTAGTACAAATAGTAAGAAGTTTATTTTAGTATGTATGTATGTATGTGTGTATATATATATATATATATATATATATATATATATATAATATGCAATTGCCTTGGCAGGGTGCTCATGTCTTGGTGGGGTTTTTTTGTTTTGTTTGTTTTTTTGTTTGTTTGTTGTTTTTTTTTGGGGGGGGGGGGGGCATGTTGGGGGAGACAACAATTTCGGTAGGTGGGGAGCTTGACAGGGCGGGGCACCCTCCTTGGATAATGATAAGGGAACCACTGTAGCTGATATGTCTCTGAATGCAGAGGTGGGAACGTGTCAGGACGAATGTGTTTCAGGCCTGGCTTTAATGGAGGCTTGGTTGACTAGAAGTTGAAAATATTTTGTTAGAAGCCATGATATATTGTGGAAACATGTTTTTTGTGCTACATGTGAATATGTGTACAGTGAGTCACAAAGCATTATACTTAAGTGGAAAATAGTCTTACCTACATTATATGAACCATTTTGTGGTTGAATAATGACGTAAATTCAACAATGCAGCCTCTTTCTGTGGGTGTTGTGTGATGGCATAGAAGTATTTATTTCATGTTTTTTCGTAAAGGTCAGAATGCAGGGCAGTAGCAGACATGAATGGTGACAGAAAGGAATAATGTTACCTGTAATATAATCTGGTGTTTGGAGGGAATACTGCTGCAAGAACTGTAGTAGAAAATATAATTATTTTATTACTAATTGACCAAGTTTCCTGAAAATTCTGAATGACCCAAAAAGAAGTGCCTGTTTTATTTTAAAATATCCATTAATGTAGAGTTTTAGACAAAGAGGCTTTTGATTTATTTGGTTTTTACATGAACACTTTTTTATTAGTGCTGAATTAAAAGTCATTACCGTAGAAGTAAGGATAAAACATTTTTATCAAATTGTTTAATATTTAAAATTTCATTCCCCTAAGGTGTTGTCTCCCACACACACTGTGGTTTCTGTCTGGGTAACAAACCACATGCTTATGAAAGTTTTATGGTAAACATACTGTTTGTATATGTATTATGTTCATGTTTTTGTTCTTGAGCAATATAATTGTCTGTGTGTGGTCCCAACTCTGAAGTGCAACAAGAGCATGACGCATGAACTCTGCAGGAACAAACGCACCAATATAATACAGTATTTCTGCCTGCAGCATTTTATAGAATGAATCAACTTATAAGTCTTTAGAACAGACTGAAATTACCATTAAATTTGGAATAACCATTTTGAAAATGAAAGCTGCAATTTGCTACATTTATAAACATAAAAAAACAATAAAAGACAAATCTTTGATATCACATAATGCATTTAGACTATTTACAGCCAAACTGTACATTTATAAGATAAGATAAAACTTTATTGTCTACCACAACTGTGACAGAAATTCTCCTTTGACATGCTCTACATTCATCATACATACACAAGAACCAACAATAGAACATAATAATAAAAAACACTATCACCATTAGTTAACACTATTAAGATGTGTCTGGTATTTAAAAATGGGAAATAATATGAAACATTTAGTGCCTGCTGGAAAAATTTAAGACATGAATTGTTTAATCACCAACTCATTTCCGAAATAAAAAAGTTTCTGTCAGCTTAAGCAGCAATTCCTAATTTTGTTGCTGATGTTTCTAAAACATTCCCTTCGGTTCTGCTGCTACTAGTGGACAAAAGTTGAAAAGGTGTTGGTCCTTGCGCTGATGGCTCTTTGACCAGTAGAAGTTGTGCAAGTCATTAAATAAGGGTTACTGTGTCAAAAGTTAGACATGTATTTTAATTAAGAGTTCAGCTCTTCTGCAAAATGCTTTATATTAAAACCCTAAGAAGGTAGAACATTAAATACCCTTTTAGTTTTACATGTTTGTACACGTTTGAGCTGCTCACCACCAGCTGGAGAGCAACCCACTTGTGAGAGTATTTACAACAGTTATATTTAATGGAAATTATTTGATCAAGTTCCTGTAAAATATGACGGTGGGAGCTTTGTGCGTTCACGTCTTTTGAAAATTGCGACTCTAAAGGCTGTTAGTTGATCGTGAGTCATTTTGTCAGTCTTAAAAGTTCAAAAGAAACAACAGTAAAACAAGAAATGCAAACATTTGTCAAAATAAATTGCCTTACTTGTATATTTTTAAGTAGAGAGATGAAGCTCGGCAGTGTCTCTGTTCTCCTGTTGCAGCGTCATTGAACCCGACTGCTGTTTTGTTTTTCAGGGTACAAAATTATGGATTATTATGGAATATTTGGGTGGAGGATCAGCTCTTGATTTGGTAAGCTACCTGGAAGTGACTTACGGGGAACTCCTCATCGTACTGCATGCTGTTGGTTTGCAGTTAATTATGACAGTTTTGTCATTTTGGCAACACGACCTCATGGATTTCTCCATTAATTTAGTTGGAACCAGGAGCCCTGGATGAAACACAGATCGCTACAATCCTGAGGGAGATTCTGAAAGGGCTTGAATATCTTCACTCTGAGAAGAAAATACACAGAGATATCAAGGGTAAATATGATGCACAACACAACAACTAAGTATTTGTTTGAATACTACATTGGGTTGATTGAACAACATGGTTTTATCTCGTTCATCAAACTGCAGTGGGGGTTTGTTATGTCTTAGTTTCAGTTTTTATCAGGAAGGGCGCATTTATTCCACAACCTTACGTGTCTGAATCAGATCGTCATAAAGTGTGGTCTGTTTTAAAGAGATCAGATGAGGCTTAACACTTTATTTAATTGCTGTTTTAGCTGCCAACGTGTTGCTGTCCGAGCAAGGCGACGTGAAGCTGGCAGACTTCGGCGTAGCGGGCCAGTTGACAGACACGCAGATAAAAAGAAACACTTTTGTTGGAACGCCTTTCTGGATGGCACCTGAGGTCATAAAGCAATCTGCCTACGACTCAAAGGTCAGTCAGCGTTCTCTTACCCTGTCTTGTATTACAGTCAGAATTTAGTGCTGAAACGGAGCTGTGTTTTAAGATAAACGTAAACCATAGTGATTAAAACAATTAGGTCGTGGTGAGAAAAGTTTTGAGTAGAAATTGTCATTAATTTTTTTATTTATTTCAACACTTCGCTGACTTTGGTGTGCAGGAAGATTTAAACTCTGTTCAAGATGTCTTTTTAGTCGATGAATGACTCAGTGCCTATTATTGGAACAACCTCAACATGAGTCAACACTGATGCTGTAACACCGTCTTTTATTCGCAGTTTCCTCAAATATTTCGACGTTGCTTTAGTTAAACCAGTTTAAATGTCATTTCTCTGTTTTTCTGGCACTTTTGTAGAAAAATGTGTGTGACTTTGTGCCATTTTAGTAAAAAATAGTTTTCTCCTTTTTTTTTTTTTTTTTTGCATAGGCAGACATCTGGTCATTAGGTATAACAGCTATAGAGCTGGCTAAAGGAGAGCCGCCCCACTCTGAGCTTCATCCCATGAAAGTTTTGTTCCTCATCCCAAAGAACAACCCACCGACACTGGAAGGAAACTACAGTAAACCACTTAAAGAATTTGTTGAAGCCTGTTTAAACAAGGAGCCCAGCTTTGTACGTTTAACTGAGCATTGCATGAAAACAGAACTAGATTTTTTTATCCCTTTCACTAAATTGTTTTGTGTGTTTTTTTTTCTATAGAGGCCGACAGCTAAAGAGTTGTTGAAGCATAAATTTGTTAGGCAAGCAAAAAAAACGACCTACCTGACAGAGCTGATAGACAAATACAAGAGGTGGAAATCAGAGCAGTCGCAGAACGGCTCCAGCTCTGATGATTCTGATGAGTAGGTTCTGTACACATCATCATTCAGTTCAGTCAACATGTCTGTTCACACCAAGCATTCTGATGATGCCTAATCCTGTTTCACTGTAGGGAGTTGGAAGGTAAGGCATCTGGAGGTGGCAACTCTAGTGATAAGGATAAATGGAACTTCACCTTCAAGGAAAAGGACTTCATTCAGGTTCCTGATAAAGTTCAGAACGGGGAAGCTCAGCGTGTGGAATTAAACAGAAAGCAGGTAAGACCAAATCTTCTGATGTAGGAAAAAAAATCATGACAATTTTTCTAGTTTTTCATCAACCTAAATGTGTTTAATGGCTTCTATGTTTCTTTAACTTTAAATAATTCTCTTTTTAGGTCCAGGAAAGTCCAAAAGGCTCCCCGTCACAAAGCCTATCGTCAATATTTTCTCCATTGTTCTCCGAGGTAATACAACCATTGACTTACTGCCCATTAAAATAAATGTCTATAGTTTAAAGCAATGCTGTTCAAATAATTGTTGCAGCTCAAAGACAAGGGTGAGACGAGCAACGGCAAGCCGGAAGCTGCAGAGGAGCTGAGGAAAGCTATTTTCCTGGCAGATGACGTGCACCCGGGGATCTGTGACTCTCTGGTGGCTGAACTACTGCAGAGACTTCAGAGGTTCGGGATCTTTTGATCAAAGCTTTGTAAATTTGAATGGATAATTTTTTTAAATTGAAAGTTGTTGAAACAAAGTGAGGAAGAGCAATCATTTTAAAGTGACCTTTGTTGCTTTTCACTTATGGATGACTGGATGATGTCTACACTGGACTATTGCAGTGGTTCATTATCTGGACGTCCAGAAACTTCTTGAAAAAGTCTTGAGTTGATCCAAAATGCTGCTGCCAGAGTCTTAACTGGAGTTAGTAGCAGAGGTCATATCTCTCCAGTTTTAGTTTCTTTCTGTTGGCTCCCTGTCAAGTCCAGAAGTGAAGTCAAAATCTTACTTCTAACCTACAAAGCTCTCAACAACCTAGCTCCATCTTATATTACAGATCTTATTGTTCCATATTTTCCTAACAAAGCACTTCACTCTCAGACTGCAGGCTTAGTTGTTGTTCCTAGAGTTTCCAGAAGCAGAATGGGAGGAAAATCTTTGTTATTGGGCTCCTCTTTTTGGAACCAACTTCCAGTTTCTGTCCGTGAGGCTGACACATTGTCCAGTTTTAAGACTGGGCTGAAGACTTTCCTTTTTGATAAATCCTATAGTGACGAGAAAGTGCATTTATTCATTGTTGTAAGAAGTAGCATGTTTTGTAACTTTTCATAAACCATTTCCCATGATGTTCCATAATCTTTAGCAGAGGTGAAAATATATTTTTAAAACTTAAAACTTTGCCCTAATCTGCTTGTTCAGAAAAACTGAGTCTTTGCTTTTAGAACCACCAAGACTAATGAAAAAATTGAAAGTTTGCACTTGTCATTGTTTTCACTTGTTTTAAGCTGGCGTGTAAATATTAACAGGTCGGCTCTGATGTTTCACAGGTTTTCGGTGCCTCAGGTGGCCGCCACTCAGTGACAGGAGAAACCTTCCAGTCTGTTCTACTTTCCAACCCTGGTGGCAGCAGTCAGATGTCCTCTGACCTCCAAAAGCTGAGATGAAGTCTCCTGAGAAGGTCTTCATCGCTCGTTAGCCTGAAGCAAACCCCAGCACACTTACCGTCTGTTTGTACGCTGTCACAGCACCAGAGGGTTCTGTTCAGGCCGGTCAGTGGTTGCCCATTCAGCTGCCACCTGCTGTACGATGTCTCATCTGTGTACCTCTTTCTCAGCTGCTTGGTTTTGAGTATATATATATATATATATAAAAAAATTTTTTTGGCAAGTGGGTAATTTGCGGCTTTTCCCACAAGGGTTTACACTCTGCAGCCTTTTTGGAGAAAGTTCCTAGCTTAATTAATGGTGTGCATGTGTGTGTGGCTGTGGCGCGTGCTGTGACGAGTGGGTTAAGGCGGTCAATTGAAAACTCAGGTACTCTGCTTTAAGTAGATTGGGTCCTCTGGGAGATGGAAGGAGCTTTAACAGGGTGGTTGTACACACTTGTAAATAAGCAGATTTTTACAGATTCTTGAGAACACGATTGGCCGTTTGGACCAATTATTTTTTAAAAAGGCCAATAAAAAGTGGAGGTTGTTGTTGGGCGTGAATAAGATTGCCTTGCCTTTGAACTTATTTTATATTTGTCATTGATTTATCTCTTCAGTTTTCAAGTTTTCATCCTGTGAATGAAAAAGCCTGCCCCTCTCTGTCATGCTTTGCTTTTGATTTGTTATTAATTTCCTAACTCTCTTTGACTTATTTGGTATCACACTTTCTACTGTGGCTGGAACAAAGATGGAGAATGTACAAGCTGGATGGATGCTCTGTTTTCCAGCCTTCATTCCATAAAACGTGGGGTGAAGTAGGTTTTTTTTTTTTTGTATATGTGTGTGTGATTGCTCAGATAAAACTGAGGTTTCGTCCATTCATTCCATTTATATGGCAGTGCCATCATCTAGTTCATAAATCAGCAGACTCTGTTAGTCTTCCTAGGAGCTGCAGTGGTACCATCTCCTCAACGTACCCACAGCTTTAATTGCACTTCAAGTATAAAATGCCTTTGATTATAAACAACGTAGCCATAAAACAGTAGCATGACACTTGCAGGTTTGTTCTGCATCATTTTACAGTTTGTGGGACAAAGTCAGCCTGAGCTCTCACATCTTGACTCTGGGTTTGGTCACACAGTGTAATATTTGCCTGGTTGAGTATTTTCATTTGGGACTTGAGAGGTTTTCTACTCGCTCAGTAAATGCATGACGACTTCTCACACATTAGATAACCCTGCTGTCTGGTGTTCATATTAAAGCGATAGTTCATGTCATGTCTAGTGGGGTTCTGTGGAGATGGTTTGAGTAATTAATATCTTATCTGTTGTGGATGGGACTTTTAATGACCTCAGTTAGGGGAAATAAAGTTGTTGTTTTTTCTGAACATTAAAGTTAACGGCTAATCTGAGTGAGACTAAACCCAGTTTATTGTTGCAAGAAAACAAATCCAGTTTCAAAAATGTCATGGTGGTTCGTGCAAATTTTATTTTACAAACCTTTACATCACTTTAAAATGTACATTAAACAATTTACATAGAATTCTAGTTGTTGTTTTTTTAAGACAACACACTGGTCTTGACTCTTTAAAACAAGCTGCTCATTAGTTTTGCCTGAATTTTCCTCCTCGAACAGATTGTGTAAAGAGTTATGTGCAACAGGTAAGATATTATACATTCATAACCACACAGAACCCCATCTCGGCTCAGAACGTTCACTTTAACACAAAGAGGTTTTCAGAGACCAGCTGCACTGTTACTACTAATGACTGTAGTTTCAAAGGAATGTGCATGATAGTATTAACAGTATAAAGCCTATAGTTTGGCCTGAGTAGTATGCGTTGTAGCATACTTTACCAAGATCCAAAGAATGTGGAGTCCTGAACACATAAAGCAGCCTTATAGTATACTTGGGAGAATTATCGTCAACTCTGAACATCTCAGATCAAATGTTTGTTTTGTGACATCTGTGCTTTTCCCCCTCCTGAATGCATTTGTAGCTGTTCTTTACACAAGATATAAAAGATCAAAAGTGATCTTTTTTCATTTCACGTCATACGCGTTTAAATGATGTTTTTGTATTTGACTGATTTGATAATCATCAGTAACCTCCCTGCTAGAATTAAATGCACCAGTTGAGTTTAACATTTCTGTCGCGGCTCTCCTGTGAAAAATGCCTCACCTCTTCATTTCAGCTTGTCGTGTGAAAGCTGCCATGCAAGTGCTCTGCCCCTCCGAGACAAATGCAGCACAGTTTGCACCTTTCACGTGGTCTGCTATAGATCTGTTTAAGTGTTGCACTTTTGGAGGTTTCTTTTTTTTTTTTTTTCAAGTTTGGAAAGAAGTGGTACTTAATGTTATTATGCTGCAGTTAAACCATATGTTTGCTGTCAGTGTCAAGTCCTGATTACAAAATGTAATAAATAAATCGGCATATATTCATTTAAACTATTTTATGAGCCCCAGAGAGCAGTATTATGTATCAGGGGAAGGAAAGTTTGTAATGCGTTTTAAGTTTCATTTGACACTGGAAAGCAATCGTTTTTAAAAATGTACATTTCATTTTGTGTGACTTCACTGGCAGTTTGTAATCCAGTGGACATGTCTGCTAATCCAGGACAGTGCTGTTAGATTTACTGAGCTGTCAAATGATTAAGAACAAAAATAAAAGTTCAGTTTAAAACAAAGTCATTCTGTAATTTGTCATTTTGAAACTCCTGCTTGTTGCCTTTGCTTCTTTTTACAAAATTGAGGTTTTATAGATCAATACATATAGAAATAGACACAGTTAGAGTGATCAATATAGATATAGATACATATTTAGATTGATAAAAAAATTGAAAGACAAATAGCTGTTGATTGATAAATATACAGACACATAGAGCTATAGAGAATTGGGACACAGAATTTGAGTGAAAATTTTAGATGTAGATACTGTATATACTGATATCGAAATGGACAACGCTAGATTAATATATCTAGAAATAAACAACTAGATTTATAAAAATAGATAAAACAGCTGTAGATTTATAAATATACTGAACAATATAATCACTGTTTTTGCTCCCATTTTTCACGAGCTCAACTCAAAGATCTAAGACTTCTATGAACAAAAAGGCATTTTTCTCCAAAAATTGTTCGTAAATCTGTTAGTGAGCACTTCTTCTTTGCTGAAATAATCCATCCACCTCACATATGTGGCATATCAAGATGCTGATTAGACAGCATGATAAATGCACAGGTGAGCCTTGGGCTGACCACAATAACAATAATGTACCCTGCTGGAAGCCAGGAACACTGCCTTCAGGTCTGGAAACTCAGAGGAGCTGAGTAGGACAAGAAAAGAGCTGGTTGCTGGTATTAAGAGGGCCAAGGCCACATATGCAAAGAGGATCGAGGGTCAATTCATCTCACAAGACCCTCGGAGCATGTGGAGGGGCATTAAGTGCATAACAGATTATAAAGGAAGGAGTGAACAATGTCCCAAAGACCCATCTCTGCCTGATGCCCTCAACAAGTTCTATGCACGCTTTGAAGACCCGAACAGACCACCCAGCACCAGACTCACCTCACCACCGGATAAAGAGCATCTCAGCGTGACCTCAGCAGAAGTAAGGAGTACCTTCAGGAGGATTAATCCGCACAAAGCAACTGGCCCAGACAACATCCCCGGAAAAGTGTTGAAGGAATGTGCTGATCAGCTCTGTGAGATGCTGGCAGACATCTTTAACACCTCACTTACCCTGGAGACAGTTCCCACCTGCCTGAAGACTGCCACCATCATCCCAGTCCCAAAAAGCTCTACAGTGACTGGTCTGAATGACTATCGGCCAGTGGCCCTCACCCCGATAGTCGCTAAATGCTTCGAAAAACTGGTCATGACTCACATCAAAACAACCATCAACATCAACGAGGACCCTCATCAGTACGCATACCGTGAGAACCGATCAACAGAGGATGCAATCTCCTCTGTGGTCCACACTGCACTCAACCACCTGGAGCAGAAAAACTCTTACGTCCGTATGCTCTTTGTGGACTTCACATCCGCCTTCAACACCATGATCCCCCAAACCCTGATGGACAAACTATCCACACTAGGACTAAGCCCCTCCATTTGCAACTGGGTACTAGACTTTTTAACAAACAGACCACAGTTAGTGAGGATCCACAACCTCTCCTCCTCCACCATAACCCTCAGCACTGGCTCTCCTCAGGGATGTGTGTTGAGCCCCCTCCTGTTTACTCTGCTCACATATGATTGTGCAGCTACCCATCCAGGCTGTCACATTGTAAAGTTTGCAGATGATACAGCGGTGGTGGGATGCATCACAAACAATGATGAGTCCAGCTACAGGCAGGAGGTGGAACACCTGGAGAGCTGGTGCAGAGAGAATAACCTTCACATCAATGTGAAGAAGACAAAGGAGATGATTGTGGACTTCAGAAGGAACAAAAACACCTACACCCCCCTGAACATAAGAGGATCTGCGGTGGAAGTGGTCTCCAGCTACAAGTACTTGGGTGTACACATGAATGACAACCTCAGCTGGAGCAACAACACCACCAGCCTGATCAAGAAAGCTCATCAGAGACTCTACTTCCTCAGACGGCTGAGGCGAGCTGGTCTGGGAAGCTCAGTCCTCACCTCCTTCTACAGGTGTGCAGTGGAGAGCATCCTGTGCTCGAGCATCAATGTGTGGCATGGAGGCTGCACAGCTGCAGAAAGAAAAGCTTTGCAGAGAGTGGTGAAGGCTGCACAGAAATCTGTTGGAATCAGTCTCCCCACCATCACAGACATCTACACCTCCAGATGCAGGAAGAGGGCCACCTGCATCATGAAGGACCCCACCCACCCAGCACACACACTTTTTGCCCCACTCCCTTCAGGAAGGAGGTTAAGGAGCATTAAGTGTAGAACCACTAGACTGAGGAACAGCTTCTACCCTGAGGCTGTTAGACTCATGAATATCTAACTAGAATAATCACTGTGAAAACCATATCATGTTGCTGCTGATCTGTTTCATGTTGCTGCTGATCTGTTTCAATGTTGATGTGTTCATGCGTGCACATCTGCTCACAGACTCATGTTCATGCTTGTGGTGATGTTCAATGTTTTATGTTATGAGTGCTTAGTGTATATTTAGTTGATGCATTTCTTAGTTCATATCTTAGATGTTATTACTGTTTTTCTTATACATTTTATTGTTGGATGTAACTGGGACCCTGTGTACATAATT